CGTACGCGACCACGAGCAGCAGCAGCAGCAACAGCAGCAGAAGTAGCGGCAGCCCCGGGAGTCCCGCGCCGAACCCTCTCCTCCGTCCCTCGTCGCCGGGGCTCGGCGCACCTTCCCCGCCGCGGATTCTAGGCGAGCTTCGTGGTCCCGACTCGGGCCTACCCACGGCGAGGCGGTCCGCGGGGTCTACAGCCATTGGGAACGCGCGGACGGGCTAATGCATCGCAGAGGAGGGCGGGTTTGATTGGGGCTTTCTCGCCTTCGCCCGCGCTCGACTGGCGAATGTTGAAAGTTTATTGTCCAAAGTTTTCGCGAAACACTCCGGGAGCCGCTTTCGGGCTCCGCTCTCCGCGCTCTTGGTGCGAGGGGGCGGGGCTAAGGCACAGGCCACGCCCCCCAAGACTTAGACTCCGCCCCCTAAAGCTTAGACTCCGCCCCCTAAAGCTTAGACTCCGCCCCCTAAAGCTTAGACTCCGCCTCCTACGGCTTAGATCACGCCCCTAAAGCCTTAGACTCCGCCCCCTAATGCTTAGACTCCGCCCCTACGGCTTAGACCACGCCCCCTAAAGCTTAGACTCCGCCCCCTAATGCTTAGACTCCGCCCCCTAAGACTTAGACTCCGCCCCCCTACGGCTTAGACCACGCCCCCTGGCGTGCCCCCGCCCACCCAGGCGATAACGGAAAACCCAACCAGTTATTAACATTTCGCGACGTTTCGGGCAATGGCCCTTCTTTATAGCACATTTATAAGAAAGACCAGATAGATAGAATGATGTACGTAATTATTGATGATAATTACGATTGGTTATTTGAGATTTTTTTTAATGTGCTGTGAAATCAACGAACATGTTTTTGATGTTTTTGGGAGGATTACGGTAATATTGCACTCGTGATTGTGGGCATCGTTCATTGATTATTGGAAATATTAAGTTAACGATTGGTGACTTACTGATAATCTTCGTCGTTACCAAGATTAGAATCGTAGTGATTTCGAGCTCAAATGAGAAGTGAGGCGGTTCTTACCTCCTGTTTACAGCCCTGAGCCAGTGGTAGATTCCACGTTCCAATGGCGGGGCCTAGTCTATTCATAGAACTGCTGTTGAATTTCAACAAAATGGTATTTTTTTATCGATCCTGTAAATATGATGGGTTGAGCCATCCTGGTCGGATATACAAATATATATTGGTGATGTCTTTTTACGAATATTGCAGATTATAATTATTGGTTGATCGATAACGGATTATGATTGACAATTCATTGTGATTATAACTGGTTGTTGATTATTATAAAGATGTGTACTTTATTATGATCATGGCGATGTGTTGATAATGATGAGTTACCCCCATGTATTCTACTTAGACGTATACGCTATTGAGACAAAGATCATCCGTGTAACCTACACTGTTGGGGCAAGTTCTGTTAGTGAACACTAACAAGATGGTGGTGAAAATAGCCCCACGACCGGCCGCCTTTGTCTCCCCAGTTCTGATGTTTACACACCACAGCAAATACCGTACTCAGTTTGAGGCTGAGTTGACCTAGGGGAGGTCCAGGACCGTTTCGATATTCAACCGTGAGTGGGAATCGAGTTCGGGTCGCCGGGTTTGTAGTGCAGCGCGCTAACCACTGCGCCACCACTCTCCGCATACACAAAAGAGAAACACACTGGCGACACACGGAGGTGTGTGTGTGTGCGTGTGTGCGTCCGGTGTTTCTGGAACCGCAGTGTCCCGGGAGGCCGCGCGAGCCGCACCGCGTGTCCCGCGCGAGGGCTTCACGACGGCAGCTGTCGCCATCCACAGCGCGAGAACCCGAGCTGCGACGGGGAACAGAGACCCCAGCTCCTGGGACATCCACCTCTCTGCAGCCCCATCCCTCCTCCCCCCGCTTCATCCTTCAACACCCCCGACCCCTCCCTCTTCACCCATCAACCCTCCTCCATCCTCTTCCAGAGCCTCAACCCTCTAACTCATTCTCTCCTCGACAGCCTCATCCTTTAACCCTCCTCCATCTTCTCCAGCATCAACCTCCTCCCCTACCTCCTCTCGAACCCCTCACTCATCACCCCTCCTCCTCCTCCTCATCCATCCCTCAACCCTGCTCCTCCTAAGCATCCTCTTCCATCCTCCTCGACCTTCCCTCCTCCTCCCTCCACTCCAGCTCCCCGCCCCCCCCTCCTCCTCCTCATTTATCACCGCCGTGGCTGCACCTGTTAGCGATGCTCCGAGTTGATTTCCAGCGTCGGGGCACGAGCCGGAGTTCCCATGGAAGCGGAGAGCCGCTCTGATGAATCGGCCAAAGTCACGATCTAGCCACTGGTGGATGGATGCTATCCAAGCCATGGCCATCTCTCACGGGCCTACGATTCAACATTCACCAAGCACATGCGCACGACATGAATGCATCGTGCCGCCTCTGCAGGTGACGTTCTCTTAGCACATACAAAAGTAAAATTGTATGTTCTATGAAGGGTCATTGCCCAAAACGTCGCCTATTGTATTTTTTATTCATTTTAAAGCCGCAGTATTAAAGTGTGCACCACTGCCAACAGCAGCAGCAGCATCGCCAAATAATTCCATTAACTTTTCAAGGGTCGTGACATTGGCTGACAGGAGCGCGTTCGCCGAATGTTCCAGAGGTCCGCGGATCGCATCCAGCGGCTGCCCTGGTCATCACTGCGGTGTGCAATCAGCCCTGGTCATCACTGCGGTGTGCAATCAGCCCTGGTCATCACTGCGGTGTGCAATCAGCCCTGGTCATCACTGCGGTGTGCAATCACCGCAACGATACTACGCGCCGTCTGCTTCACAGTCAACGTGAAACACCCCCTGACGTCATTTGCAAGAGGAGGACCTTGTGTGCCGGCGTCAGGGTCAAACTTTGCCGAATGAAAAAATTACCCGCAAATTATTAAATGACAACACAGTACATAATCATCGTCCCCTACTGACAAGACTAATGCCGAGGTCACGTTTGCGAATGACTCATGCTAGTCTAGATTTGAAGCTTTCGTGACTGCAAGGATTCATACTCTTTGGTTTTTTTTCCGGTAAAGTCACGCAGGTGAAAAAAATAAAATAAATGAATTTCGATTTAAAGCTTTCGTGACTGCAGGGATTCATCTTCTTGGTTCTTTCGGTAAAGTCACGTAGAAGGGAAGTAATAAAATAATAAAAATAAAACATAATAAAATAATATATAATTCACACTATTTTATTTTTATTATTTTATTACTTCCCTTCGACGTGACTTTACCGAAAGAACCAAGAAGAAAAATAAATGAAAACTAAATTAAATCACGTTTCGGGCGCAACACAAGCGTCCTTCTTCTGGTGGGGACAATGCTACGTTGATTTTTTCACCTACGTGACTTTACCGAAAAAAAGTATCATGCTAGTCTTTTGCGCTCTCACTTGCTGCATCTAAATATTAACTTAAACCCGTGGTTCACAATGGCCAGCAGCAGCAGCATCGACACTGTGACAGCAAAAACTTTTCTCGCAGATCCACCCACGAAACCCCGCCCCTCGCCCCTTCTACCCCCCGCCCCTCCCCCCTGAAGGCCACAGCCGACTCAATAACATCTCCACCCAGACAGGTGCCGACGATATCAATGCCCTCACCATGGGACCCAATCGCGTGTACTCGGCCAAATTCATCTGACCACCTGAATGAACCATTCCCTTACTGCGAGGAGTCAACTCGCGAGCGGCAATAGCGCACTGGAGCTAACACTCCAGCGTACTGGAAGACGATTTGGTCGATACTGTATTGAATCTTGATTTGAAGCTTTCGTGACTGCAGGAATCCATACTCTTTGGTTCTTTCGGTAGTCACGTAGGTAGAAAATAAATCACGTTTCGGGCGCAACACAAGCACCTGATGATGTACGCTTGTGTTGCGCCCGAAACGTCGTGATTTATTTTATTTTATACCGACATGACTTTACCGAAAGGACCAAAGAGTATGGTACTGTATTGGCCAAACATCCCAATGATGATGATGGGGTCGTTCGCGTACTGAATTTTTAAGTTACCAAACATGTGTAAGAGTGGTGTGCACATGTAATTGCACGTGACAGTGTGATTGTTTGTGCGATTAGTGCAGGGATTAGCACACTGCAATGCCAACCAGGCGAGCGAGTTCAAATCCCGTTCACGGCCGACACCAGTGGCGATTATCTCAAACGGTTCTGGGCTTCCCCTAGGTCGACTCGGCCTCAAATGAGTATCTGGTGCAGTGTGTAATCCTTGCCAGTAGGGAGACAAAGGCGGCCGGCCGACTGGCCAGTCACCACCCCACCTTGTGTGCCATGTCGGCCTTCGTAGGTGCTACTCGCTAACAGCACTTGCCTCAACAGCCCGTTAAAGGCTTTTCGGGGGATCTGCCTTTTGTCTTTAGGAGTGTGTGCAAGCGCGTGGCCGCGTGTGCGCATGCGTCTGTGCGAATTCACGCGTTTGTGTGACCGTGCGTGCGCTCGTGTGCCCGTGCGTGCGCGCGTGCGCTCTCCGCACGCATGGCAACTGTGGGAGCGGTTGCCACAAACACAGGTGCGGAGCTAAACTTAGCAGGCCATGCCTCGAGTCCGGGGGATCGGGTCTCTGCGAGTGGTGCGCGTCCTCCACCCCCCCCCGCCCAGCGCAGGAGCGGGCTGCCCCCCCCCCCAGCGCAGGAGCGGGCAGCCCCCCTATCGCCAGCCACGGGAGCGCGTGTCTCTTTGTCCGTCCTGTCAACCCACGTGCCCCTTCCCCTCCGTTTCTCTGGCCGTCTTGTCCTCCCGTCGGTGTGTGATCGGCCGTCCCCCGTCGCTTCGCGCGTCTTTCTCGTCCGTCTATTGTCGCCCACCACCACATCTGCCCATCCAATTTGTGCGTCTGTCCATCTGTTAGCCTGATCCATCTCTTCGTCGGTCTATCCATCCAGCAATCCATTCGTCTGCCAGCTTGCGCACACACACAAGGTCATCTTTATCACAACATTAGTCGTACTTAACACGCTCAACAAATCCGAATTGTATTTGTACAGTTTGCCACGGTTATCAATGAAACTTGACGCATCATCACAACGGAAACCACAACGGTGATGAAATCACGAACAAATGCGTGTTAACACCAGGGATGCCTGTTCCGAACAAACAAGCCACTAGTCGGGAACAAGGGGAGCGGAACACATTCATATTGACAGAGGAACTGCTTGGGCCTCGAGTTCAGAACCCCCCCCCCTCCCGTAAAGAGGAACAGAACAAAGTTCCGAGTGTGGAAAAAAGTGACATCTGCAGTCCACTCTCGATCACCCAGGGGACATGGGGGGAGGAAAAGCGGGTAAGGTACGGATACAAGAAAAATCATGCGCACGCATGAGTTCTGTACCGCGTGGAAATATTTAGTTTTAACACGTCGGCTTTCGCGACCAATATCATCCATAAGAGGGTTTTTTTGGGTTAGATCGCGTAAATATATAAATGTGTCGTTAAAACCCACCACCACCCGACACAGCCAACTAGTAAGGGGTTGTCGCGTAAACAGAACGTGGCCAATTCGTCACTAGTACAGCACACCGGTGTGTTTGAGAGCCAAGCCACAACATTAACAATCTGAGTACGAGGTTTCGCCAGTAATTACAACCAGCTTCATCAGGCGACGCCTGAATTGGCACGTTCTGTTTAAGTGACAACCCCTTACTAATTGGCTGTGTTGGGTGATGGCGGGTTTTAACGACACGTATTTACGCACTCTAACCCAAAAAAAAACCTCTATTATGGAAATCTTTATTTAGCGGAAACGCCACGCTCCAAGCCGACATCACGCGTCACGACATCATCAGCAGGGGAGGTTGGGGGGTGGAGCCGAGCTGGGAGTGGGCGTGGCATGGCTGTGCAAGTCGCGTTCCGATTGGCCGGCGGCTCCTGGGTGGTAGGAGCTTCCTCACTGGACGTCGTCATCGTCAAAGAGATCATCGAAATCTGGCGACAGAAAGAGAGAGAAACAATCGGAGCGGGTGGAGCGTGCGGGGAGGCGCACTGCGCTCACCAACTCGGCGACAGTGGAGCTATCGGCAGTGGTGAGCGATATCCGAAGCAGTCCGGGGCTTCCCCCTCCCCACTTCACCACCTGCCACCGACTGGTCTGAAGTGCGGTCAAATAGCTCCCCTGACCGACACAGCGTGGGAGACAGGCACCTCATTCAGCAGTGGATTGACAAGTGGGCCGCACATGCTCAGAGATACGAGGCTCTAGCGTCGCATATGCACGAGCCACAGAGCGTGCTGTGAGTGAGAAGAGTGCGCAGTGAGTGTTGTGTGTGGCAAGTGTTTGGTGTGGTATGCGGGGAGTGTGTGGCAAGTGTGTGGTGAGCAGCAAGTGTGGATGAGAAGAGTGCAGTGTGAGTGTCGTGTTTGGTGAGTTTTGTGTTGAGTGTTTGGTGAGTTTTGTGTTGAGTGTGTGATGAGTTTTGTGTTGAGTGTGTGGTGAGTGTGGTGAGAGTGTGTGGGGTTGTGAAGAGCGTGGGGAGTGTGTGGTGGTAGGCGGGTGCGGCGAGTGGTGAGGGTGCAGATAATAATAAGACTGTAAGGGGCCATCCATTTAGTACGTACGCATGGAGGGGGGAGGGGGGGTTAACCCAAATGCGTACGCTTACGTATGGGGGGTCTACTGACAATGTACGCAGGAAACGAGGGGGGGTGAAGCCTTGATAATAATTTATTTTGGCCTTCAAATGAGCCATAGTTCAGTGTCTCCAGCTGTCAGACAACAAGTACTGCCGGGAGAAGTGGGACTGTGGGAGAGGTGTCACTTGTATGCCACCGTACCCCCTGACTACGAGCTATCACGCAGCTCAGCAAAATAAGTGACCAAGGTACACAACTTAATTCTTTAATGCAGCCGGCGGTGGACTATCTGTTTGCTTAAACACGTTAATATTATTAATCCTTGATCGTTTCTGCGTGGATTAAATATCGGCCGTTCTATCGGATTCGGGCAGGTGGGGGGGGGGGGGGGGTAAAAAGTCCGTGTGCGTACAGGGGGGAGGGGAGGGGTCAGGTTTTGACAGATTTTTGCGTACGTACTAAATGGATGGCCCCTAATTTCAACTTATAACACGCCACCAACTCTCGCTGCCTCCACAGTGCTGGAGCACAGGCCACGTGAAGCATCACCACCACCGCCCGGTTGAAGAGGGCACTGACCATTGTAGAAGTCGTTGTGAACCGCCTTCTCATTGGCTGCCAGGTCCATGAGCAGCCCACTGCTGCCTCCTGCCTTCTCTCACACACAGAGACACACGGAGATTTGTACCGTACAAAGACAAAGATCCCCCGTACAGCCTTGACAGACTGTGGAGACGAGTGCTGTTATTCATAATCAACGTTTTTGGGTTTAGATCACGTTATTTATAAATGTGTCGTAACCCTCCACCACCCGACACGGCCAATCAGTAAAAAAGTGTCACGTTGACAAAAGACAAATAGTTCACTGCTTTAGCCCACCGGTGTGTTGAAGCCACAACATTTACAATTTGAGTACGACGTTTCGCTGGTAATTGCATCCAGCATCATCGGGCTGTTAGCGAGCACATATGAAGGTCGGCACGGCACACGAGGGAGGGTGGGTGGCTAGCACCACGCCTGGCCGCCCGTCTCCCTAGTAGCGATGTTTACACACAGCACCAGATGCTGAGTCGACCTAGGGGAGGCCCAGGATCAGTTTAGATAATCGTCACTGGTGTTGACCTTGAGCAGGAATCGAGCCCGGGGCGTCGGGTTTGTGGAGCAGCGCGCTAACCACTACAATACCGCTCCCCACCCAGATACACACACATAGACACACACATAGACACACACATAGACACACACATAGACACACACATAGACACACACATAGACACACACAGATAAAACTGCCGGTCGCCACTAAGTGGTGGCGACATCACGACAGCGCTTTGCCAAGCTAGGTGCACTTTGAGGGTACAAGAAATGTCGAAGACCCCCTGGCAGGTCACGGAACAGACCCAAGTGCCATGGGTTGACCGACTGAGATGGCTGGCAGATGTACCACCTGTGCCCCCTACTGTGCCAACTTGCCGCGTTTTGGCCGCACGGCGCTCCGCTCGTTATTGCAAGCGTCGCTCCTCTGCCTCTGTTGTTGTTGGAGGGCGACTGCCTTCGATTGCCCAGCAGCGTCCTTCACGAGCCTCTTCCACAGAGGCCGATCTTGACACCGCTGGTACAGGTCATCGGCAAGTCCACTCAGATCCACATCCTTTTGTACCGCATCACTCCATCTCTTCTCTAGCAAGTTCCACGCCACGTTTAGCCCCCTCGATCCGGTCAAACAGGTGCTCGGGACATGTGGTGGCTATGGATATGGGCTACATGACCTAGCCAACGCGAATATGAAATAATTAAAATAACTTGCGGTTGCCCGGATATAGATATACAGATATTGACACATGTAGCTACTATACATGTAGCTACTACACATGCAGCTACAACACATGCAGCTACTACACATGCAGCTACAACACATGCAGCTACAACACATGTAGCTACTATACATGCAGCTACAACACATGCAGCTACTACACATGCAGCTACAACACATGCAGCTACTACACAAGTAGCTACTACACAAGTAGCTACTACACATGCAGCTACAACACATGCAGCTACAACACATGTAGCTACTATACATGCAGCTACAACACATGTAGCTACTACACATGCAGCTACAACACATGTAGCTACTACACAAGCAGCTACTACACGTGCAGCTACTACACGTGCAGCTACAACACGTGCAGCTACTACACGTGCAGCTACTACACGTGCAGCTACAACACGTGCAGCTACTACACATGCAGCTACTACACATGCAGCTACTACACAAGTAGCTACTACACAAGTAGCTACTACACAAGTAGCTACTACACATGTAGCTACTACACATGCAGCTACAACACATGTAGTAGCTACTACACATGCAGCTACTACACATGTAGCTACGGGCCCCGCACTTTCAAGGGCCCCGCGCGAAACGCTTTCAAGCTATCAATTCCGGTTCAGTGAGTCTGCACTTGCTCTATTACTATAGTACTACACCGCCTTTAACTTGAACGAACGAGCGGGTGTTTAAGGTGAGCGATTTGCCGTATTATCTGGCTGTATAGCGAATGAAAACATACAATTACTTTACCAAGCAAGTTAAACATTTGTGTTTTAATATTTGCGTGTTTTATTTATTTATTCAGGGCCCCTTTATAACACCAAATGCTACAGGCCCCGCACTAGCCGAGCCCGGCACCGACGTCACGGACACAGGGCGCGAATGGCGAACTGCGTGGGGGCCGTGCACACGAAGCTCAAAAACAACAACATCAACAACAACAATGACGACGGCGAGGCCGTAGCCCCATCGAGCAGTGGAGAGAGCCCGGCTCCGGCGGGGCCTCGTCACCTCGTCCAGGTCCACGTAGGGCCCCGCGCCCTCCGGGAACATCTCATCCACCACCACGGACGGCTTCATCGCGGGGGCGCCGAGCGACGGGGGCGACGGCAACAACGGTGGTGAAGAGCGACGACGATAACGAGGATGTTGTTGTTTTTGTTGTTTTTGTTGTTGTTGTTTAATCGCTACAATCCTCACTCGGGGGCCTGGCGAGAGAGGACCGGGTTGGTGACGATGGAATCGATTACGTTGTGCGATTCGACTCTATGCGCGTCGATTCCTCGCGCTGTGTTCGATTCCCGCGGTGTGCTGGGCGTGGAGAGGGGGTTACATCGATAAGGGGGAGCCGTGGGGAGCGGTGGCGCAGTGGTTAGCACCGCGCTGACAAAAGGCGACTCCGATTCGGGGTCAATCCATTCTTATTGTATGAGACTGAGAGGCGATTCGATTAGTAACATTCATCCAAGTTTCCGAATCGATTCTACAAACGCATGTATGATGTCGATTTGCCTGCGGAGGACATGACGTCATCACGTGAGCCGTGAACAGGGCGCTCATCATCCACTCACTGCGCCACTACTCCAATAACAACTGAGTCGTGGTGACGTCACCACGGCGCAACGTGCCAGGCCAGGTGCACCAAGGCACGCGGACAGACAACACAGACACGCGGGATGACGTCGTCCAGCAAACGTTCCCAGGCACTCGACGGTGGAAGATGACGTCATCCTGCGTGTTGTGACGTCATCGGACATCTGGTCCTTCGTGCGTGACGTCACGCTCCAGGCCAATGACGAAGAGAGGAGTCGGGCTCAAGAGAAAACCGGACGAAGCAAAGAGAACAATAATTTAAAGTTGATGCCACATCACCGCGTCGCATTACGACTCGACTACTCGATTATAAGCAACGCGATCTGAACACGGTGCCCTGCTTGGTGAGGTTAAGTGGTGAATTATGCCAAGCTCCTGCATGAGCGGCTCGTTGGTCTAGGGGTATGATTCTCGCTTTGGGTGCGAGAGGTCCCGGGTTCAAATCCCGGACGAGCCCAGATTTTTATTTTATTTTTTTTAATCACCGATTGATAAATCAATAAAACATGAATTCTAGATTTGAAGCTTTCGTGACTGCAAGGATTCATATTCTTAGGTTTTTTCGGTAAATTAATGAAAGTAAAATAAAATATTTTATTTTACTTTCATTAATTTTAATGTTTTACCTACGTGACTTTACCGAAAAAACCTAAGAATATCAATAAAACATGCTCGGGCAACCTGCCGAAAGTCGCCGGTTGGCATTGACGTTTTCCGACGTGGCTATTGAAACATCGAGCACGTGCTGCTGCTGTTGTTCTTGCCGTCACCTCCCGCTTCAGTCCACTCAGTGATGGGTAAAGCCGCAATGTGTCCGTCCCATTGGCAGGTCCGCGTGTGGCGGGGTAACGTGTGGGAACTCGAGGCGCCGATATTAACTACCTCGCCTGGGGTTCGATCCCGACTCTGACGCCTGCTGCTGCTGTGTATTTGGAATGTGCACGTTCTCTCTCTCCCCGTGATGTCGTGGATTTTTCTCCCGGCCCTCCGGTTTCTCCCTCCACATTTAGACACAACACGCGTTGAGAGTATTTTATCTGCGCTACATTTCCACGTGATGATGAGTCTTTCGCTTCTAGAAAAACAGCTCCGTGCGCCTTACCTGGTAAAATAACATTTAAAAATGTTTTAGTGTAAGGGACAGCCAAGACACAGCCTTGTGTGTAACCGCTCGAGACATCTACTCGGCGTGCGGCGACTTGATGGAGTATAATGACACATCGGTGCATCGTGTTAGGTTGGCGCGTTGCGTCGATGGCTCTGGGAAGGGAGGCCGTCATCCAGCAGTGGAGTTGAGTGGTCGTGGTCGACGGCGAGGGATGATTTTAATTTTATTTTACTTTTATTAATTTTAATTTTTTTACCTACGTGACTTTACCGAAAAAACCTAAGAATATGAATCCTTGCAATCACGAAATCTTCAAATCGAGAGGGATGATTTGCTTTGTCACTTCGCTTTGCGAGTCACTGGCGCGCATTGGCCACGTGGCGGCACGCGAGAGCCCCCCCCGCCACCATCAACCGCAACAACAAAAAATCTTAACAATTTGAATGCAGTGCTGCATCTACACAAGTCAATGTTGTTAATGTTGTTTAGGTTGCACAAAAAATAAAAATATATAACCACAGCAACGTGTGGAAAGAACACTGCGGGTGGAACACGGTTGAAGTTGGTCGGTAAGATAAAATAAAAAGCTGGGCTCGTCCGGGATTTGAACCCGGGACCTCTCGCACCCTAAGCGAGAATCATACCCCTAGACCAACGAGCCGCTCATACCAACGCACCGGCACGCAGCCACTTAACAGGGCGCCCAATCTCGACAACTTAAATATTTATTTTCATTTCGGTTTTAGTGTTCATTTATTTGGTAACAGCCCTGTGGGCCATTCGGCTTTTTGAATCGGGTGCAACCGCAACAAACAAAAAACATGAACAGAAAATCCAAGAAAAGACAACAAAATATATACTCGACCCACATAAACTTTGCTTTTGTGACCAGCACACAAAGGCAATGTATGTTCATAATCCACTCCCTCACTGTGTAACAAAATTTATTTTGTTCCTAGGGTAGTAAGTGTTATTTTCTCATTGCTTATGCCTACAAAGTATAGAAATTGGCTGTTATTGCCCCCACAAACTTTGCTTTTGTGACCAGGACAGTGACATTTTGAAATGCACCTATTTACACGCTTTTATTTAACTCTGTTGTTGTCGTATCCTCAAATCTTGGAGCTCAATTGTAACCCACTTCCCAATGTGGTATCGACTGCAAACTTGGTATACTTATGTCATACTGATGACAATACTATGTTATATCATAAAAAATGAGAATAAACATATTTCAAAACATTATTTTTTATATGTTATGTTTCGGCTTGGGTCTAATTGTCCACGTTCAACTGACGTTGGCTGTAATTGGCCACGGACCCTTACGTTATAGCAAGCTTCGGGGCCACTTCCTGGAGTCGTGGAGTTCTTCCATTACTAGTACATTTCATGAAAGCGTGTTTTAAAAAAATTTGTTTTAAATATTACTTTTTCAGAAGCGACCTGGCAATCACCAATGATACAACTCAACGAAGTGGCTCATCATGTGGACATGTAAAGCGGCCAAATGTTATACTTACTGTACTCTAAAAGCACGTTTCTAAAACAATTGCTCAACACATTCTTCAATTGCACTGAGTGGCCTTGAAATGTTAAGGGGCCGTCCATAAATGACGTCACGCGATTTTGGACGATTTTGACCCCCCCACCCTTCGTCACAAGACGTCAGACCCCCCCCCCCCTCAAATATGACGTCACAAAGCTCTGCCCCTCCCCCCCAAAAATAAAACATGCTTCAAATCGCTTTAAACTATTGTCATTTTAGTGCGTATTTAATGTGGAGCTGCACTCTGATGTTGTCGGAGAAAACATTTATAAAAACGTATATTTAATTAAGTAGAACGTGTTGTCTATATTTATGTGACGTCACATTTCTCAAACCCCCCCCCTCCCCTCGTCACACATCGTCACAAATGTCTGATCACCCCCCCTAGGTGCGTGACGTCATTTATGGACGGCCCCTAAATATGATATCCGACGTGTCTGGTACTGGTCCTTATTCACGGTCGACACACCTGAGGCTGATGGACAAACGGGTATGATGTATGTCACGTGTTGTCTGTATATGGAGACAAACGGAATCGTGCTTTTGTTTTACTAAGACCATGACAGTGGCGTCACTGCCATGGGAAGAGTTGTTTGTATCACAATCTGTTTGGCTCCAAGATTGTGATTTGTCTCGCACGGCGGCACCCAGTCCATATATCTCGGCTCCTCTTGCCGACTCACAGCATTACGCCCACGGTCTTGAACATTTTTTTTTGCTTTTTCTGGAAGACTTTGCAATTTTTTCCTGGATTTTTCTGTTTGCACATAGTCACATAGTCTCTTTAAGATGTTTTCTTGTTCATGTTTTTGCTTGTTGCGGTTGCACCCGATTCAAGAGCCGAATGGCTCACAGGGTTATACCAAATGAACTGAAACTGAAACATTTAGCGCTATAGCGGCGCTCCGTTTTAAATACTTTTTTTATATGGGGCCGTCCATAAATGACGTCACGCACCTGGGGGGGGGTCAGACATTTGTGACTATGTGTGACGATGGGGGGGGGGGGGGGGGTGAGAAATGTGACGTCACATGAAAATGCGCAACTTAAAATAAATATAAACACGTTCTACTTACTTAAAGATTTTTTAATAAATGTTTTCTCCTACAACATCAGAGTGCAGCGCCACATGAAATACGCACTACAATGACAAGAGTTTAAAGCGATTTGAAGCATGTTTTATTTGGAGGGGGGGGGGCAGAGCTTTGTGACGTCATATTTGAGAGGGGGGTAGTCTGACTTTTTGTGACGCCGTGTGACGAAGGGGGGGGGGGTCAAAAATCCTCCAAAATCGCGTGACGTCATTTATGGACGACCCCTATATACTGCTTAAAACATCATGCTGGCTGCCAAGTGGGGCCCCAACCCTTGGTCATCGCGCGCTTGTGACCCAGTGCTGTCGAGGCAGCAAGGTTGATGGATCACACACAGATGTCGTGAAACTCCCTTGCAGTCGAAGTCGATGAGCCATACCCTGGCTTCGCCAGAAGCCACTACAGCAGTGAGGACTGATCTCCATCTGTCCCTATGGAATGGGAATGGAGTGTTGTCCCATGGCAGACTTGGGCTTTTATCCGGTGGCTCCCGATTCCTCGGACATGCATAAACACTCATTATTGGCTGAAAATATAATCTTAAGAGGATTGCAAAGCTCGGGCAATTATTGGCACCGACTCATCGCCTGACGACTGCCTCCCCGCTTGTGTGTGGTGGTTCCTCAGTGATTGCAAGATATTGGCATGAATGAGGCTATATATTAAAAAAAACATTAGTGTTGCATTTTGCGGTGAATGGGGTCTCATTTAACAAGGAGTGCTTGAGACAATAAGATCTCATTAATTATCCATCAGAATGTTGAACGAGTCTGACTGCTGATGAGACCCATAAAGTTGAAACCGCTCCGACTGTCAAGAATTATTTCAAATATTCCAGCGGAATCGTTCAAACATCCCAGCGCTCTGGATGGTCACAGCGGCAGCCATATGAAGCCACACGTGACTGGCCCACATCAA